AGGCCACAACAGTGAGAGGCCCGTGCACAGCCAAAAAAAAAAAAAAACATCCCACACGGAGCAACGGAGATCCCACGTGCCGCAACAAAGACCCGGTGCAGGCAAATAAATAAATAAATAACAAATAAGTAAATAAAACTAAAGGCATTTGTGTCTAGGCTTTATCTGCCTAGGTGTCTGGATCAGACCCTGGAAAGAGGGTAAAACAGCTATAAAGGCTACCAACGTGATGATTTTTGACTGAGAATATGGACTGTGGATTAGACAGCGTTTTTATCAACATCAAATGTTCTGAATTAGATAATTACAAGAGAACCTCCTCCTTAGGAGATGAACACTGGCGTACTCAGGGGCGGATGGTCACAAGGCCTGCAACTCACTCTAAAATGAGTCAGCAAAAATAACGTGTGTATGTATGCGTGTGTATATATACATGTGCAATGTGTGTGTACACGCACACATATGCATACACATACACACACATACACAAAGAGAAAGAAATCAAACGTGGCGAAATGTTAACAACTGGTGAATCTCAGTGAAGGGAACGTGAGTTTTCACTGTACCGTAATTGCAACTTTCCCATAAATTAGAAAAGTTTCACACTAAAAATGTGAAAAGAACATTTAATGGGACGAGTCCCTTGATGTAGCACGATGTTCCCAGGAATGCTGGCCCGAGAGGTGAGCTGACAAGCACTCAAGGACACACAGGTAGGCGAGGATGCCCGGGGCGGAGTGGTCTGTAACCGTGAAACCCGGACGCTGGGTGGGCCCTCGGCTCCGCCTGGTGCTGCCTGCGGTTCAGGACAGCAGCGGGACGGCAGAGCCGGCTGAGTCCCAGGGCGCTCGAGACTCTGCACTAAATGCTCACCCTCTCCATCCCCCAACATCCTCGGCTCTCGGACACACCCGAGGGGAGCACAGGCCTCGCGAGGCCAGCACAAGGAGTGAACGGGCCTCCACCCGTCCAGTGTCCAGCCTGGTCCCTGCTGCTCTGCACAGCAGCAAGTCTAAGTTAAGAATCATATATGACACTACAACGATGCGAGGTCCCGGCAATACCCGTCACACACTGGGAGCAAGCTTTCTGTAAACAATAAAAGGCACACTGCCATCCGGCCCCAGGCCATTCTGCTCCCACAGAAACGGCCGACGATGACCACCAGGCAGCCATTAAATAAAGGGTCCTGGAACGCTCTGCTCATCAGCAAAAGAGGTACACTGTAAGGCAACAGGCACTGGGTGCTCCAAACTCTACACTTGTTTAAAGATTTTTTTTTTCTTTTGAGGTGGACCATTTTTAAAGTCTTTACTGAATTTGTTACAATTTTGCTTCTTCTTATGTGTTTTGGTTTTTCGGCTGCGAGGCATGTGGGATCCTAGCTCCCTGACCAGGGATCGAACCCGTACCCACGACACTGGAAGGCGAAGTTCTAACCATTTTACGCCAGGAAAGTCCAGTACACTTCTTTAAAAGTGTATGTTTTATACATTTTTTTTGCTAGAAAAATATTTACCGAAACGTTAACGGTGTTTATCACCACGGGACAGGTTACGAGCATTGTTTTTTTTTCTTCCTTTCTGCTTTCTTCCAAAATGCCCACGATAAAGCACGTAATTAACTCTGATAACGTAAAACAGGTTAACTTTAAAAGATGAAGAGGGTGAGGGCGGGGCGGGGGAGCCAGTCAGCAGGGCTGGACGCTAAGGAGGGAGGACAAGGGCCAGGGCTGAGGCTGCCGGCAGGACCTGCGGCGCAGCCGGGGTGAGGGGAGGCCCGCGAGACCCCTCTCGGGAAGCAACAGCCGCCGCGGGGCGAGGCAGGGCTGCGGGCAGGCATGCTTGGACGGGCAGACGGGCGGCCTTCCGGTCCAGGAGCCCGGACGGAAGTACAGCGAGAGGTGGCTCAAGGCCACATACCACAGTTGCCCTTAAAAAGGAGACACACACCTCTCACGCGGAAGCAGGAGGAAGGATGGGATGGAAACAAGGTGATGGGGGGAAACACACTGACGACAGTAGCAGTCGGCATTTACACGGAACGGTGCGCCATCTGTCCGCGGTAAACAGTGAATTCACGGTGGAACTGGGGTTTGAACCCACCGCTCACCTGAGAAGAGGCTTTCTACACTAAGTGGTGACCACACAGTTCTCAAGCGAGTCTGAAACGTGTACTCCAGCAGAAAAGCACAAGATGCACAAAGGAGGAGGATTTAGAGACGGGAGGCCACCGGATGTAATCGTCGTAGCTCAGAGACGAGAGGCCAGCCCAGGAGCGTGACAACGCAGACGGAGAAGAAGGGCAGATAAAATGTTAGCAACAGGTTGTGTGACTGTTTAGGACGCCCATACCTAAAACATGGGATGAAAAGAAGGGCTCTGACTCCTGATTCAGAGGAACTACAAGTCGTGTTACTGATGAGTAACATCCCCTCCATTCTCTGATGGTGATGCCAGCCGCAACACTATCACCAGCAAGACCCAGAAAGCTGAATAACACACATTTCAGGCTCCCACCAGGTGGGTCCATGTTTCGGAGGGCCTGAAACTTACACATTTTCAGTGGCCCTCTTAAAAAAAGAAAGTACAGAAATGTAAAGTCAATAAAGAAAAGTGAGAGTAAAGGGGCCCTCTGCTAGCTTCTCAGGCAAATCTTTCTCTGGGATCTTGTCACTGAGGTTAATGAAACAACCTGGCCGGCCAGCCGGCCCTGCCTCTGCAGCAGAAGCCAACAGGCCAGGGCCCGGCCATGGGGTGGCGCCACCCGGTGGCCACTGTGCTCTGGAACCCCTTCTGCGGGCCCACCCAGGAGCCCAGGCAGGGAGGGCACCGGCACCGAAGAGCTGGAGCTCCACCTTGCCCCTCCCCACCCGCCAGGACGAAGGGCTGGGGGGACAGCAGCCCACTGCCCACTGCCCCACCCTGGGCACTTCCTAGGGCCCAGCATCGTGGGGCAGGAGTAACCGTGTTGCTCTTTACAGAGAGCAACTCAGGGAGCAGCGAGACATCACTTCTTACGCTCCGGTTCACACCCTGCTGTGAAACAGAGACAGGAAGCAACAGTCTTATTCAGAGCCCAAAGGGACTACTACGAAGCGTTAAGAGTCCCAACTTCACTCCAACATTGTTGAAGCTGCTGTAACTTGGCAGCAAAAGTTTTTTGGAGGTAAACTTCTCGAAAGAAAAAAATACAGTCATATGTATTCAAATTCAGCTTCCCCAAGAATTGAGCAAGATGTTAACAGGTGTTACACAAAAAGTTCTGTGAGCAAATACATTTGTGAAACACTCCACTAAGCAAAGGTTTCTTCATTGCAGGACTTCTCAGAGCCTTTATTACTCTGCAACCTTCCAAGTGGGGATATGGTGTGAAAAGGACTCCGAATGCATTTGGCCACAGAAGTCTTGTTTCACATACTAGCTACTGAGATTCATGCTCCAGGAACACACTTTGGAAAATATCCTTCTAAATCCTAAGACAAGGCATCTACAGACGCCCAGAGCGTTATTTTACGAGACATGCAAAATCTTCAAAATGAGTTTTTTCAATTTAATACCAAGTTATTTTTTCAATGTAAGGCCACACCAAATAACCTAACAAAGTTGCTTTCAACTTTCCTCCAAGACTGAGAATAAGCGTGTTCCCATCACCACTTCTATTCAATGCTGTACGGAAAGTCAGTGAAATAAGTCAACTGAAAATAAAAAGCATAAGAACTGAGGGACAACTGTGATTATTCACAGGTGTCATGACTGGGTGTAGAAAAAAACCTAACAGAATCCACAAACAAATTATTAAAATTAATTAAGTAATTAGGCAAGATAACGGGATACAAGGTCCACATACAAAACCCACTGTATTTCCATATATGGAAACAAGTAGAAAACAAAATTTACAGCAGATACTGTTCACGTTAAAACCGAAAGCATCACCTACCATGAAAGGTGTGTGAGACTGCTACAGAGAACCCTACAGAACATCACTGAGAGCAATTACAGAAGATGTAAGTAAGGGGACAGACCAGTTCCACGGATTAAAAGACTCAGTATTGTGAGGATATCAATTATCCCCCCAAATGATGTATGGATTCCAATTTGCAGTCTCTAGCTTATCCAGATCCATCTTACCTTTCAAGTTTTCAAATTTTGTCACTGTAGATCTAGGAAACACTTCCTTATAACTAACAATGCCCTGATGTCCAGTTAATGTTAAATCACTTGCTCACATGCTGCCCTCAACAGACACCACGAACAGCACACTCCATACAGAAGCCTTTGCTGAAGACTTGAGATCACTTTAGTCTGTTCTTCATCTTTAAACCTGCTCTAACAAGTACTGTTTTCCAAATCAACCTCTTACTAACTTTCATCTAAGCACAAAATTCTATCACTCCTGTTTAACTGTGGACATAATACAGATCTAAGGCCCAGTCACTGACGTGACCCCAAAGTTCTGCAAGGCCACATCCATGTATGCTCGTGGATATCACACATCAGTGGTCCTCAGCCCGGCTGAACACCAGATCCCGCAGAAGCTGTAGAAAACCACACCGATGCCTTGGTTCATCCAGACCAGAGGCAGGAGAATCCCGAGGGGTGGCCCACCAGCCTCCGGCACTTTTTACAAGCTCCCAGCTCAATCTCACGTGTCTCCAGGCTAAGGCCTGTGCTGTGGACAGCAAGAGGGACAGGCACACAGATAGACAGACACACTTCTTTTTAAAACCAACAACTTACTTCCTTCTGGGTTTGGTGCAGAGAGAATGACGCTGTGGTTTTTCTTTACTTCTTCAACATACTGAGCTACTTTAGCTATTCTGTTTCTGATCTCCTCAACCTAGGAGAGAGGGAGAGAAAGTCATCGCCACTGCGGCAAATGCACATCTGCAACCACTTTCCATTACCTAAAAAGAGAAGGATAAAAGAGGAAGAAAATAAGTGAGTAATTACCACATAAAGAAACAACCACCTTTTCCCATTCATTTAATTTAAAAAATAAAGGGAAATGCGCCATGTTAAAATAGCTACCTTTATGGCTAAGGCAATATCAGCCACCGGGAAGACCTTGCTGGTTGTAAGAAGTTTTACAATCAAGACCCAGTATTACCACAGATGATGGCAGCCAGAGGCATCTACTACCAACGCCAGGTCTCCGTGCAGTCAAGAAGGGAGCTCACCCTGCAGCAGAGGCCGCCCATCATATTCTCATGCGGGGAGGTACTGACAGCTGATAAGACCAAGCCTTCCTAGTCATTATTTTTTGCCTCTGATAGTCTGAAGTATTCACTACTTGTCTCAAAATGTAACGTATTCATTAGCAAGATCTGCCCAGATGGATTCATAACAAGTGTGGCAGGCTGAATACTGTCCCCCAAAATGTCCAGGTCCTGGCCCCTGGGACCCTGGATGGTTACCTTATATGGCAAAGGGAACTGCAGATGTGACTGAAACAAAGGGTCTTGAGATGGGGAGATACAATCCCGGATCCCCCGTGGGCCCTCAGTATGACCCCAAGGGTACTTGTAAGAGGGAAGTGGATGGAGATGGGACGAGAGAAGGCGGCCACGCGACACCAGTGAAGCACAATGGTCTGCTGCCGGCCTGGCAGGCGGAGGGGCACCAGGCGTGCAGCTCGAGAGGTGGGGAAGGCAGGGCAGCGGGCTCTGCCCGGAGCTCCTGGGGCGTGCGGTCCTGCTGGCAATGTGGCTTCATCCCGGCGGGACCAGCCTGGACTTCCGGCTTCCAGAGATGAAGACAGTAAATCTGTGCTGTTTGCAGCCACTCAGTGTGTGCGGCCCTAGGAAACTGAGCACAACTTCTCTATCTGAACGATGAGGAAAACCCTAAAGCCCATCAGCAGGGGACTTGTTAGGTTACATTACGGAACTCTAACAAAAGATACGAAAACACCTCCAGGATATATTACCAAGTTAAAAACACGCTGAAAAAAAAAATACCCACAAGGTGCAGGACGACACGTATACATGTTAGCAACGATGCAAGGAAGAGGTCAAAATAAGCAGAGATTAGCCTGCAGGTGTTAACATTTACATGAAGAAACACAGGGATGTCAAATAAGAAACTAAGAAGAGGGTCACCTTCCGAGGGGAGAGGTGAGGAAACCAGCAGATGAAGACAGGAGTGCGGGCGAGGCTTCTCGTGCGAGTGCATCCTCTCCCACCATCCTGATTTCTGAGCAACGGGGACGCACATCCCAGTGGGGAGGTGAGATGCCAGCATGAGGAGCCCTACGGACTAGAGCAGCTCTTGTGTGTTTGGTCTCAGCGCCTCTTTAATCCTGAAAGTTACGGAAGACCCCAAAGAGCTTTGGCTCACGTAGGCTGTAGCTCGCTTCGGATAATTCCCATAGTGGAGAAACAGCTCCGACATGCATTAATTCACTGAAGACAGTTAATTACAAGCCCACAACATGCCATGGTGGATGTCCACGTTCTCATCCTCAGAATGTCACCTACGGGGCAAAAGGCACCTCGCAGGTGTGATGAGTTAAGAGTCGAGATGGGAGATTACCCTGGATTATCTGGGTTGTCCCAGTGTAACCACAGGAGTCCTTATAAAACAGAAGCCAACAGGACCAAACTTAGAAAAAAGCGCCGTGACAGGAGAAGCAGAGGCTGCGGTGAGGTGCCCGACGCTGGGGAAAAGGGCCCCGAGCCAAGGACTCAGGTGCCCCCAGAAGCTGGAGAAGGCAGGATGCAGCCTCTCCCCGCCGGCCCTGCAGGAGGGCGCGGCCCTGCCGGCACCTTGACGAGAGCCCCAGTGGCTCGTTTCAGCTTCGGACCTCTGCAGCTGTCAGGCTCTAAGTGTATGTTGGGTTTAGCCACTACGGTTGTGGTAATTTGTTACACCAGCAGTAGGAAATTAATACAGATGTTAATACCAATAACCTATTTTTATGGAAAAAGCAGAATTCCCTCCCCCCCAAATCAGTGAAAGTACGAGCATTGATCTACATTTTTCTGCAAATCTAATTTCTAGCTTAATGGAAGGCATCTTGATTCTGATACCTGCTTCTGTGTTTAGTCTGTGGCCGTATCACACACTTGATGTAGCCTCTGGGAAACTCCCCCATTGTCCATTCATGACAGAGTGAGAGGAAAGAGGTAAACATCTTGGTATTTTTATGAAAATCGTTACCAGCCACACGAACTCATTGGAAAGGCCTTAGGGACCCCAGGGACACTGGGACCAAGCCCCACAGCACATTTTGAAAACCAAAGTTTTAGAGGAGAGTTGAACACAGAATTCTACTTGCATAGAGCAGTGAACAGCTATTTCATTAGGCCTGGGTGTTATTTCCATTTATTTACAGTCAATTTGTACAGAACTTCATACACTTCACATACTTATAATTTAATTAATCATGTAAAAACAGTACACAGAATTAAAACGGCATCTTTTAAAATTTTTGCTACTTTATCATGCAGGCTTCAACACAAATGACGACTTTGGGGTTTTAGTGCACGGATCTACACTTCAACGAGGCATCATTAAAGCAGCATTTCTAAAATAAATTCAGTAGCACACATCTGTCACAAAGTAGGAGAGACACAGTTTTACCTCTTGGAGGGTTCTGCAGTACGCATGCCACTAGTATCTGTGCAGCAGAAGTCCCAGCGTGGTCCAAAAAGAAAACCGCTGGACCACCAACTCGGGACCAGGAGGGAAGCGCCACCGTCGCTGTGGCACCAGGTCCACCAGGTCCATTTGCGCCTGCGAAGCACATCACGCAGGGGTTCCCCACCCCACCCCCACCCCCCCCGCCAACTACAAACCACCTTCGCAGAGAGGAGATTCCTGGCCGCTCATTACAGCACTATGCTAGTCTTCAGCAAACACTGGCCACGTGCAAAATTCCTACCTTTTGCAATGTTCTATGTGATATGTAAGATCTGAGTGCCATTTTCTAAGAAAAGAGTTTGTATTAACAAACATCATTTGCTTCTCTATCTAAGAAGTCATTTCACAGAAATTAACTGTAAAATAAATCAACCATTTAACAAATGAAACTGGAACTTACGTTACAATCGATGGCCCTCAAACCTCCCTAACACGAGTCACCCGTTTCTGTCTGCAGCTCTGAGACGCCCACAGCCGGAATGGGTTGGCGCTAAGTTACTACAGCTTAATGACTGAGTGATTTACATAATTCTTCTAGAAAGTACAACAACATTTAATGCTGGGAGATTCTTAAAATAAGAAATATGTTTTTCTGGAGAACTGGTACGGAAGAATTAAGCATCTAGGTACAGGGGGTAAAATCAGAGAAGCAGTGATTTTACAAAGTGGGCAGGTAAGCTCAAGACAGTAAAGAGTCTCATTTCCAAAGTGAAAGCCGGAAATCCACCGTCTTAACTCTTTTGTACCTTAAAGTAAGTTCCTGTAGCTAACGATTTAATTTCATGTTTTTTCCATTAGATAAGATTAAGAACTAACATAAATGCTTGAAACCCAATGAACAGGTTCTTACACTAGGTATTCAATAAATTCTGACTGGATCTGGAAAACTGATAACTTCTAAAGTTATCTTAGATAACTTCTAAGATATTTTTTATTAACATATTACATATTTTCAAATCCACGTATTGATAGACCGGTTTAGACTGTCAACAGATTTGAGTTAACTGAAACTTGTAGACGAGATTCAACATAATCAAAACAAGGCCTGCAAATGAAGCTTTCATCATTAAAAAATGAACCCGTTTCTTTTCTTCATATGTAACAAAGTCAAAATATTTGTTCTCTGACTCAATTTCAAAAATTTTAAATTATGCAAAATTTGATCAGCTATAACTTAGGGTTAACAATTTAAACATGACGCCAGCCTAGAAACAGCCCTGGGGGGCTAAGAGGGAGAGGGAAAGGCCTCGCAGGGAAGCCCGAAGGAACGGACAGGTGTGAGGTCAGCTCCAAGGGCGCGGGCCCACACGCAGACAGCCCAGAGAAAGGCCGTGCTGCCTGAGAGCAATGGCAGAGCAGAGCTGCCACAATCGTACCTTTGCTTACGGATCAGACCTCTCAGGACAGAAGTCCATATGACCTAGAGACCGGTATTCTGAAACGTGGAAAACTTCTCAGGAGAGGAATTTAAAATTCAATCAAAGCGTTTAGGAAATACACAACGTGAGCTCTTTGATATGCGGGACTCACTGCCATTCTGCAGGAGGAAAGCAAGGGAAGCCTCGCTGTGTGTACTGCACACCTGACCACCAGCTGAGGGGCAGCACCGCCCCCAGGCCTTCCCCTCCCCGGGACCAAACCGCCCCGAGTCTGGAGAACACCGATGGCCATGGGTGCAGCAGCATCTCCCCTTGGGCCTTCCCAAGGATGCGCCTTCCCCCAGCACGGCCCTGGAGCAGCAGCCCCGCCGGGCCAGCACCCCAGCCTGCGGGCATCAGTCTCCGCATGTGCCCTCCACACCCACGATCACCATTCTCAACCCCCCCCCCCACCAAGTCCCTCACCAAGAAGAATGTTTTCCTAGCACTAAAAAGTCTAGAGAACGTTTGCAATTCAAACACCAACTTTTAAAAATATTAGTTAGGGTATTATTTCAAATATGACAAGTGCACAGTTACATTAGTTCAACTATGTTTAAAGAAAACAAGTCCGTCTGGGTTTCATTAAACGGCTCTTACCTGATGGAAGAAATCATCCATAAAATGGTCCTTTTCAATAACAACAGTTGTGTCTCCATCATCATGTTTCCTACACTAAAATGGAAAAATATAAAATGTAAAATTCTGGTTTTAAAAATTTTCACATAGACACAGTGAACTGAAAGACAAGAGCAGTTCGGTACCTACAGGATCCCAATTCACTAAGAGCACCAAAGTGTAACGACTCCGACGTGTGCCAGAGCCGCACCAGGCCACAGTCAAGGCAGGCAGACTGGGCTGCACGCCCTGAGAAGCAGCCACGTCCTGGGGAAACGGTGGCGAGATCTCTCAGAACTGAGAGACGCAGAATCACCCATGCTGAGTACATCCACTCAACACAGGCCAGGTTTATCCTCAACAAGTGAAACTGCTTACACTGCACACTCTCTATAAAGACTGAAAACACTGATACCACCAGCTCACTTTTCAAGACTACGTAACAATCTTCAAGGAACTATCACATATGTTAGCTGGTGCTTACCAATTTTCCCTGCGTGAGTAACTCCCAGTCACGGCCACACTCATAATCAAGGAACACTTTACCAAGGAAAGACTCGGTAGCGAAGACCTGAGTAAGTAACACGGAGGAAGAAAGCAACTGACCGCTGGGAAGACCCAGGATAACACCGTACTTTACAAGGCATCCATAAAAGCGTCCTTTTCAGCAACAACAGTTGTGTCTCCATCATCATGTTTCCTACACTAAAATGGAAAAATATAAAACGTAAAATTCTGGTTTTAAAATTTTCCACGTAGACACAAACAGGTACCATCAGTTTAAAATAACACTGAAGAATAAAGAATGAGGAGATGTTATTCTAGACCAATGGGTCTCCAACTTGAGGGGCATCAGCTCCGCCTAGAGGGCTGAGTCTCTGACTCAGAGGGGCTGGGGTGAGGCAGTCCATGCACTCGTGACTGTCCTAGAATGTCGGGAACATCGTCACATTCTAAGTTCCAAGTGATGCTACCGGGCTGGGTTCCCCACCCCTTGAGGGAGGCAGAAGAACCTAACGGTGGAAAGTCTCTCCTGGGAAGAAAGCGACCTCCGTCTACAGCCATGGGGGACAGGAGACAACGTCAGAACCCGGGACCTGGTACCGGAATCACAGTGTTTGTCAAGGACGTGTTACACAGCATCCACCAGCGAGAGCTGGGGACTCGGGAGGAAAAAGGAAATACACCTGCCAGAATACAGAGGAGGGAACTGTTAGGAACTGTCTCCCCAAGGACATGCAGGGTGAGTCAGCTCAGCTCAAACCCTGCGAGAGCCGAGGCGGCCAGATTTCGGGGATTCTCTCAACCCTCGTGAAATCAGAGTCTTTAACCACGGAAAGTCAGAAGTGTGGCTCTACTGATCTACAACCCAGAAATAATGTGGAAACAAAATTCCACTAAATTTATCTAGGAAAACATCTACAAAATTTAATAAATGTGTCAAGAAAGCACAATGCAGCCTCCCTCTGCACCCATCCAGGGCCCTCACTAAGGCAAATCGATTTGGCCTAAAAATCAACAATAATCTCTCACCACCCCAGGGAAGGCTTTGGCACCTGCCTTACCCCAGGGCCTCCTCGAGGAGACAATCCAGGACGGCAAGGGAGAAGAGGCGTGCTCCTCTACGGGAGGCGCGAGCTCCCTCACACAACGGGCTTTTACGAGAGGACCGCGAACGACGTGTTATCACCAGGCGACACCTCGCGCTGGGACAGCCGTGGGGCGGTCTCGGAGGGAAAAGCAGAGACCCACCTACGCAGGACTCCGGCAGAAGCTCCCTCAGCTGCGGGCCGGAGGCCCCCGGCACCTCTCAGAGCTGAGGGACCCTGCTCTCACAAGCGCCATTTGCGGGGAAAGATGCCTGCAGTCAGGCAGCACTGCCACTGCAAACGTCTCATGTGACCTCTGCTAACAGGGCGAGCACTATGGGTCAACTGTGCCCGCTAAACACAGATGTTGCAAACCCCCAGGACCTCAGCCTGGGACCCGTATTTGGAAAAAGGGTCAGTGAAGATGCAGTCAGTCAAGATGAGGTCGTGCTGGAGCAGCGTGGGCCCTTAACCCAACGTGACTCGCGTCCTCATGAGAAGAGACAGAGATGCACAGGGGGAGGCGGCCCGTGATGACCGCGATGCACCTACAAGCCGAGGACCCCTGAGGACCGCCGCCCGCACGGGAAGGTGAGAGAGGCAAGGCAGGGCTCTGGCGCAGGTTCGGGGAACGTGCGGCCCCGCGACACCCTGGCTTCTGGCCTCCAGAGCCGGGAGGGCACATCTCCCTGGGTCAGGCCCCAGTCTGCGGGCCCGCGGCACGAGAGCCCAAGGACGCGCACGCACCAGTACGGGCTGAAGCACGCTCACGCCATCCTTTCTCCAATCAAGCGTGCTAACCGAGACACTCCTCTCAACTCTGCAGCCTGTGAACAGCGCTGTCCGGAGGAAAAAACCCTGTACCTACCGGGAGTCGCAGATGTGGGTTCTAACCGGCGACGAGGCGGGGACAACACCCATCCCGTCCCCGCCCCCAGAGGCGGGGCTGTGGGTTTCGGAAGGGCGTTATTTTCCCAGGGCATGCATACCCCAATAAAGGCTCTTAAAATCACTTCTGGTCCATGCTCTTAATTCCGAGCTAAAAAGCACTTAAAGACAGATCGGCAATCGGCTAACAAGCGACAGAAAGTTATGTGCAGACCCGCCCACCAACTCCGCAGTGCTTTTCTCCAGGCTCCCAAGGCACCTGAAGTGAAAGACGGCTGCTACTGGGTACCGCGCGCGCCAGGGCACGGGTCGCGCGCTGTCTCACCGGTCCTCCAGCGCCGCCCGAGGCCTGCGAGCATCCCCACTTCACGCACACAGCACCCCATGGACGGCTGAGCACCCAGCCTCTTTGGGCACCAGGTGGGTTCGACCTCACAGATCCCACACTGCGCTCACTCCCCAACGGCAAGAGCTGCCCTCGCCTGGCTCAGTCACCGGACGACAAAACTTACCTCCCACACCCGCTCGCGCGCCACTTCACAACCCGCCCTCTGCCAGGAGGGGCCGCCCTGCCCCTCTGACTCCAGCCCACGCCCTTGCTCTTAACCCCGCCCCCGCCCTCCTCCCGGAAGAAAGGGCTGCAGGAGGGTCCTCCAGGCGAAGCGGGCCTCCCAGCTCTCCTCCGAGCTCCGGGCCGGGCGGCCTCGCGCGGGCCTTTGACACCACGCGCTCCTCGAGTGGCCCCGCACGTCACTGCCTCCCCGCGCCCCACCCAGTCGCTTCTCAGCTGGGGCGCTCATAGGGCTCAAGGGACTTAACTGTAAGTAGCCAACTCCCTGCAGATTCAACGGGGGAGGGGAGAGAGTGAACGTGAACGTGGCCTAGCAGGGCTGGGATTCCCCGGGGCCAGGGGCGCACATCTCACCCCGCTGACAGCCACTCGCGGTTCTCAGAGGCCTCGGCGTTCGGCCTGTTTCACTTTCTGCCGTGGAAAATGACAAACACGCACAAAAGTGGAAGGAATGACGTACTGGGCCCTCGATGGGTCCATCGCAGGGGTTCAACGACGATCAATCCACACCTGTCTTGCTTCACCTGCACGCCCCCAGCCCCACCCCTGACCCCCGCGGCACTAGACCACCTCGAGGCGAAGCCCACACGAAGGTGCCTGTTGTGCGTGTGACACGGTCGCGAACCTAAGCCCGCTACCTCATCTGCTCCGGGAGAGACACTCACTCATTTCCAGGCTCAGGAGGGACGGTCTCCAACATGACACTCTGCCTACGGGCAGCCGGCCATTTTACTATCGCATCACACACAGACCACACTCCGTGCAGGAGGCGGCGAACGAACAGCTACCAAAGAAGCTCAACTCTTCCTCGCCGCTGAAGCCCACGTCTCACGCGTGACCGTTATTCAGTCATTCGCTTCCTGGTAAATCATTCGTTTCTGTACCTGCAGACCAAGAGGGAGCCAATGACTTGGAATCTGTTTCCTCTAATGTCTTCTTTTTTCCTTCTCATTTTTAACCCTTTACTTATATTTCTTAGTTCTATCTGGAATTCTCAGAATTACCTGACATTAGGAAACAGACCTAGTAATACTGTCTTAGCTTTTCCATTAATGAAAAAAGAAACAAAGAAGTGACTACCAAAACAATGCTCTTTAGGGACTCCCCTGGCTGTCCAGTGGTTCAGGGCTTCTGTGCTCCCACTGCAGGGGGCCAGGGTTCGATTCCTGGTCAAGGAACTAAAATCCCACATGCCGCACGACGTGGCCAAAAAAAAAAAGAAAAAGAAGAAGAAAACAACGCTGTTTAAGCTGCTGCACAGTCGCCCCGTCTTCAGTGAAGCCCACGTTCAACCTTTCTAGCGGAGACGGTGTGATCCCTGTACAGTAGCTGCTGGTTACGACAGTGTACTTATCGTCTGTAACAAAACGATTTGTGGCAAAGCATTTACTGTGAGCAGTGGGAATGCTCTCCAACTTGATTTCTAAAGTGTCAGAGTGCAACATGAACATCCAAATATCAACTTTCCATTTCTGTTAAATTTTAAAACAATTCTCCTTAAAAGCAGCAGTGTATTAAAACACAATTCTCTCTGTAAAAACTGTTCTGAGGAAGAGACATCAAGTAGCTTCCATGTTTAGAGACTATTTAACAGAGATGAATCATTTGTCACTGGAATGCCGTTTAGATAATTCAGAAGCTGAATTATCACAAATTAGTAGAATCCAAAGTTGGATAAAACACTGGATTTTTCTCCAGGTTGTTCTCCAAATACACATATACTAGGGCCTTCCATGCAAATGATAATTGTGAGGAAATAATTATCTTGAAATATGTACAATGGTTGTAGTAGCTTTGCTGCTACAATACGTTAATTTCAAAATTACATTGCTTCAGTAATAGACGAATACTTGTAATTAAAAATAGGTAAAAGCTGACTGTTGGCCAGGTGGTAATTGTGCCGTCGAATGTCAGTCGCATTTCTTTCCCATATATGTATGTAATCAGTCGTAGTTTCATGCCCTAGGTAGAATATTACACTGTTTCATGTTTTATATTTTTACTTCATA